GACCCAAAAATAAAGTTTATGTTAGCATGTTAGATCTAACACGCTTTTCTAACACCGTTTTTCTACCACCTCATTGAATTTTCATGACTTCTTCGCCTAAATGTTTTTTGTTCAAGACTTCTTGCGTAATGAGTTGTTAAAGGACAAAATAAAGTTTATCGTTAGAATGTTAGATCTCACCTGTTTTATTCACCTCTTTTCTAACCTTCTTGAATTTTCATGACTTCTTCGTTAAATGTTTTGTCAAGACTCTTCGTAATGAGTGTAAAGGACCCAAAAAATAAAGTTTATGTTAGATGTTAGATCTAACACGTTTCTAACAGTTTTCTAAACCTCATTTCTACTCCTCTTGAATTGTCATGACTTCTGCGTAAAATGTTTTGTCAAAGACTTCATCGTTTAATGAGTGTAAGACCCAAAATAAATGTTTAGGGTGAAGAGGTGCAGATTTCTCACCTGTTTTCACCTGCTTTTTCACCTCGAATTTGTCATGAATTTCCTACGAAATAAAAAATAAAGGTTAGTATTTTATTTTTTATTTTTTTATTTTGTATAAAAGATAGTGATTTTCAACAATCGGCCAACACAATCACCGAACCAAATTGTCACAACAGCACCAAAACTCGTTAGTCATGGAATCCACGTCAAGTTAGTAGAGATGAAAAAGTTCATTCCTTCTTCATATTACTTTCTGAAACAGAAATACAACAAGAATTAAAGCATGAACTTTTAAACAATGTAATTAGACTGTACGTGCAAGGATTGAAGTAAAAATTGAAACAGTACTCTTTATGGAAATTGCAGGACCTCATCGCACCATTTGCCCTAAACTACCTTGAAATCACAGCAAAAAAACTATCACTATTCCTTGAATTCGATTGAAATTAGAGTGAAACCAACTGACTCAGTAGAAATAAAGAAGTTCATACGAAAGTTAAATATGAGTTTCTAGGATATTCATTGCAACCATAAGTTATGCGACAAAGATTGCGACATGGTATATAAAAATTCTGACTTATAAATCGAAGAATTTAAGACATACGAAACTTTGTTTCTTAGTTGCTTGAATGTGTTTGGAAATAAGAGATTAAAGATAGAAGAGGAAAGTATGGAAAAACTAAATAAAGACCCAGCTTTTTGAGATGAAAAGCAATGACGCTCTTAGTGTTTCTAGCTGGTTTTATTTCAATGTATAACGCAAAAATGAACCCCGCAATGTTCTAAATGTAAAGCAGCAATGAGGAAATATAACTACTCCGTCAAAGAGATAGAAGTATGCGAGAAAACGACTATGCAGATTAAAGAAAAGAAGCAGAAAAGCCAGCAGAAGATAAAATGGACTATGTTGAACTTTCTAAAAAAACTATCCAACAGCAGAAGATTTCCTTCTTCTGACGTCAAGAAGAATATAAAGAGAACTTTCGCGATGTTAAAACATTCATGTACTAAAAGAAGAAATAGAAGCTACGAAAATGTTTAGAGTCAAATATACATCGACAATTCATGTAAAACGCTTGTGAAAAAAAGAGGTGAGGAAAACAGGTGAGAAAACAGGTGAGATCTAACATGCTAACATAAACTTTTATTTTGCTTGAATTCCGCTATGAAAATTCAGTGAGTTTTGTTGTGTTGTTTTAGACCATGTTAGAAAAGAGGTTAGAAAACGTGTTAGATCTACATGCTAACATAAATATATTTTTGGTCATTTTTACAATGAAGTCTTGACAAAAACATGGAATCTCTTCCCTCGGAAAACCGAGAGAAGCATCAATATGACAAAGTCTTGACAAAACATTTAAGTTCGCATGAAAGCTTGAAATTATTATGAGTTTTTGTATGTTTTAGCACCATGTTAGGAAAAACAGGTGAGAAAAACGTGTTTAGATCTAACATGCTAACATAAAATATATTTGCTGAAAAAATGACAAATTTCATGAGTTTTGGCTGTTGTTTTAGCCATGTTAGAAAACAGGTGTGTGAAAAACGTCGTTAGATCTACATCGCTAACATAAAATATATTTTTTGCTGAAAAATGACCAAATTTTCATGAGTTTTGTGTTGTTTTAGACAGAAAAGAGGTGAGAAAACAGGTGAGATCTCACTCTTTCACCTAAATATATTTTTGCTGAAAAATGACCAAATTTCATGAATTTCCATTAAGACAGAAAAATAAAGTTGTTTTATTTTTATTTTATTTTTTTATTTTGTATGTAAGAACAGAAATGACAAACATTGAGTTTGAAACAGTTAGAAAGATAGACAATGACACCAAAGTGGTTAGAATAGGTGATTTTAAACGTAAGATACTCAAAGAATACAACAAAATATTCTTTGTCAGACATTATATCTCCATCTGGAAAGAAAACAAAGGACTGGGTTAGAATTGCTTCTAGTCAGAAATTTTGACAGAAATCTGAGCTTATGTATCGGTAAGATTCTATGGAACTGCAGCATATCTTATAGACAAAAGTCTTATACAATAGTTTTGTTATGGTTTAGACCCAGTTGTTGGATATAACTTCATAACATATGGTTCATTCGATACGGAACGTTTGCAGTGAAGGCTTACTTTACATCGTTCAGAAACCGAAGGACTTCAATACAAAGAGATATAAGATAGGAAGAATATTATATATAACTCAAAGATATGACAGTACAGTCAATAGAGTCAAGGTTGTGTTTGCTAATGATATGAGAGCTGCAGAAACAGAACTACTTGAAAAGTTTGAGAAAATATATGGTGCTCCATAAAAGGTAAAGAACGTTTGAAGTAGATGAGATAGATAAAGCTATAAAATTATTTGACGAAGTTGCTGAAAAATACATGTAAAGCGTTTTTTTTTGGTCTTTGTGAAAGTCAAAAAATAACGCTAATTTTTTATAAAATATTTTTTTATTTTGTATGTAAAGACAGATATGTCAACAACAGAGAAACACAAAACAGTTATAGTCCATTGAAGCTATAAATGAAGAATACGAGTACATACAGTTAACAAACAACTCCGTCTCATTCGTTCGGTCAAAGACGATATGTACCAAATGCAAAGTATTTTGACAGCATGTTTTGCTCCAGATACTAAGAAACCACAAGACTGGTTTAGGAACCAAAGCACACAAGAATTTGAGCGAAGCACAGCGGAGACATACTTTTTTCTGAAACAGTGAAGAACAGCGAGTAAGTAAAAACCGCGAGTCGCCAAACTCTATGAAAATCGTGAAGAACAGCGAGTAAGTAAAAAACCGCAGTCGCCAAAACTTCTATGAAAACAGTGAAGAACAGCGAGTAAGTAATAAAACCCCAGTCGCCAAAACTCTATGAAAATCGTGAAAAATTGCCAAACGGTTTGAGAGGATATTATGTAATAGACTTCTTGTAATGCTGTTGCAATGTGGGCTTCGCCTCGTTATGCTTGGTATATTTACAGACTTCTTGACGAAATTCATAGACAAGAACGTGAAGAGATGGAAAACAAGCTTGAAGCAAAAGACAAAAGCATTCAGAAAAGAATACCACGTTCGGTACAAAAGGAAAGGAAAAGAACTATAAGTATATGATTTATACTGAAGAGTTGGAGAAAGAAGAAGACAGAGATATGGTTTATGTTGCATTTAGTCAGAAGAAACACAAAGCTTTTACGACTTGCTAAGATTTACAAATCTGACAGAAATTGGTTCTATCGCGAAAACTTACCGATTTCAATGACACCGAATGAAGATGTGAAACAAATAGTTCAAGATACGTTACTCAAACACACTATGATATTAAAGGTTGTACAATTTACATTCAAAGAAGATTTGTCATTGTTAAAGGAAAAATAACAGAGTATTTTTGACAACTTCAAACAAGTAGGGTAAATGAACTCTTTATTTTTCAAGCTTGACTTTTTTACAATTTGAACTTTGTTTGCGTTAGTATGAATTCTGAAAGAAGTATGAGGGTCTTGTATGACTTTGTACTTCTCCCATAGTTCATGTCTGTCAAACTTACCTGCCATGGACTCTTTCATAAGTTCATGAAATCGTCTTCGGACAATCCGGGGAAAAGTATAATGTCAGTAAGTATTCTTTTAACATCCTTACTTAAACTCTTTGCTGTCTTGTACACAAATGACAACTGAGATGTTAAAGTGTCTGAGCTTCTTAGAATTCGACACATATCTTGTTCTCTATTCTTTAAGCAAATCCTCTTGAATGAGAGCACCGAGGATATGGTGGCTCAAGACATGTTGTACTTACTATAATGGGTACAATGAAGTAGAATTACTCTTATATCTTATTTATATTTCAATAATTTTTTTTATATTTTAAAATATCTTTCCCCACCTAGCGAATTTTATATATTTCATGATACACACACATAATTCCTATATTATGGATGTTACATAATCAGGAAATGAAAATTTTATTTTTCTTCCTGATTTCTTGAAGTGAACATAGATCATTTCCACTTTATGAAGATGTTTATAATCTACTGAGTAAAGAAATATCGTAGTAGCTTAAAATAATCGATAGTATTTTTAAAATGAAATTCTGAGTCTATTGAATAGTCAACAACTTCGAGGGAATATCCAATGACTGTACACAAAAATGTTGTTATCAACAAAAATGTCTTTAATGAAAAAGTTATCGTAATAGTTGTAAGTCAGAATTGTTCCAGCGATCATTAAGTGCATTAGCATCAAATAATACTTTATATGCGTCAAAATATTCATAAATTAAAGTATTATGGTCCAAATCACTTTTTTTTCTCTGATTCTCCACTTCGAAACTTAAAAATATAATGTGTAATTTTAAATAGAAGAAGAAATGTCAGGAACTTGATAAAATGATATTTGATATTATTTTGTTGTTGATAAATATGAATAATAAAATTGTTTATTTTAATTAATGAATTAAATGAAAAATAAACAATAAATAATAAACAATATTCATATGAAGAATAGATTGGAAATAAGAATATTGTTAGTTTTAATATAATTATGTTATCTGGTTAGATTATATTACTTTGCTCCAATAGATTTTAGATAATCTCTTACTTCACCTTTTGCAAGCGAGAGTGCAGTATATCCATCATCATTCTTTGCTTCTTTATCAGCTCCAACTGAGATAAGATATTTAACAACTTCAAGATAACCATAATATGATGCCCAAATGAGTGGAGTATATCCATTATTTTCTTTTGCTTCTTTATCAGCTCCAACTGAGATAAGATATTTAACAACTTCAAGATAACCATAATATGATGCCCAAATGAGTGGAGTATATCCATTATTTTCTTTTGCTTCTTTATCAGCTCCAACTGAGATAAGATATTTAACAACTTCAAGATGACCATTAATTGATGCATAATGCAGTGGAGTAGATCCATATTTAGACTTTGCTTCTTTATCAGCTCCAACTGAGATAAGATATTTAACAACTTCAAGATGACCATTATCTGATGCAAAAATGAGTGGAGTATATCCATTATTTTCTTTTGCTTCTTTATCAGCTCCAACTGAGATAAGATATTTAACAACTTCAAGATAACCATAATATGATGCCCAAATGAGTGGAGTATATCCATTATTTTCTTTTGCTTCTTTATCAGCTCCAACTGAGATAAGATATTTAACAACTTCAAGATAACCATAATATGATGCCCAAATGAGTGGAGTATATCCATATTTAGACTTTGCTTCTTTATCACAGCCACATTCAATAAGTGATTTGACAAGATTAAGATTTCCTTTTTCACTTGCAACATGAAGTACATTCTTTCCATAATCTGTTGTCTTCTTCCAAAGTCCTTCTTCACAAGCCTTTGAAATAATTTCGCGATTTCCTTTAGAAGAAAGTTCTTCAAAGAATTGGTAAACACGATAAAAATCTTTGGTTTCTTTAAGTGATGAGATTTTGGTTAAAAATTCTCTAGAATAGTTGTGATCTTCATTAGTTCGAGTGACTGTAGTTTCTTTGGCAGAATTTTGTATTTGATTCTGTAATGTTTTTATTTCTGTTTGATGTTGTTTGATTTCTTCTTTAGAATCACGCATATGTTTGTCGTTTTCATTGATGAAATCAATAATTCCATCAAATATATGGAATTTCATGTACTTTTTGACGAAGTTAAGAATTGAAACAACTTCTTCGATGTTTTGGATAGTAACATTTGCTTTTCGTGTACTGATATATAATTCTTTGGCATTAAGAGTTGATGAAGACTGTTTAAGAAGAGTAACGTACTCATCGGCGGTTAAACGTGAATATTTCATGATTCTTTTGATCTCTATGATATCGAATGTATCAAAAAAGTTTTCGTTTTGAATATAATCACTGAGATGAGCAGCAATGTATTCGTGATTCAGATTCATGGACTGATTCCTATAGAAAAACCGTTACTTTACAAAAAATCCGAAATTTTTTAAAAATCGAAATTTAGATTAAAAATAATCTCATTGCTATACGTTTTATGAAAATATATCTATAAAATTTCATTTCAAAATGTTTAAAAATTCCAAATGAATTCTTCAACAATGACATATAAATTATTGCAAAGCATTGAGTTTCCTTTATCAGAACCAGATGTTTTCGTCGATAATCATAGACTTTGAGTAATATTATTATTATTTCAATCGTCAGGCATAAAACAAGCTAATGATCTGTTGATTCAAGTTTCATGAATAATAGCAATTTGATATGTCTGCAGACAATATCATTAAAACAATTCAAAATATGAACTAAACTAAGTTGAGCAACATATGAATTCATTTTTACTATAAGGCAAAGTTAGTCTATTTGCATATAATAAGCTTGCTTAAAGCTGTATATGACTCAGCCCCGACTTTTTTTATAGAATCTGACAAAAAAATAAAAATAAAAAATGAAAGAATTTGATGACCAAAATCACTTATTTTCAATTGCAATCGGTGATGATACAACAAACAATATTGAAATGATAATAGATTCATCAGATCATAATGGAAAATACGCTCCTTATTTTGGATTTGGCGTTTTATTTATTTTTTTATTAGCCATTGGCTTTATTCCAACATACACAACATCGTATACATCTACTACACATAAGAAAACAGCAGCTCAAAACAGTCTTCCGATAATTCCTATTGTATCCAAATTTAAGATTACTCGTCCAATGAACAATAACCTTCAAATATATATGAAGATACCAGGTTTAACCCAATTCAAGAAGATTTCTCTTTCATATACTTTTAATATTTCTTATAAATCTTATTATGAGAAACCTTCAATGATGTTGCGCAATACAAGACACATATTTCCTTCTTTTTCGTCGAAAAAGAGCGATTTTATCCAGTTAATCTTTGTTGATAAAATTCTAGATTACTCAGAAATCGAGTTTGTCGGTAGTGTTTCTAATACTCCCGAGATTAAAGAAATCGACATATTATATGCATACGAAAACACATCTTTTACATTGCTTATGATCTGGATTCGGATAAATTTCCCAATAATTTTATTAATTCTTATTATTGTACGATTTTTCCGCAAAACTGCTACCACAATAGAACAAAAAGCATGCTCCCTACTGAATTTAGCTACAATTTTCTATGATCAGCCTTTATCAATTTTAAATTTTTACAAACCAACTCCTCTCACAGTTTACTTAGACATAATCTTTTCGGACATATATGGCCCAGTACTATTCTTTGTATCCATGTTCCTTATTTCTCGTACTTTCGATCAAAAGTTAACACAAACAATGATTTACCTTCCTTTCATCTATTTCGGTACAACATTCTTTCTTTCATCGATCAACTTTCTCGTGCACTATCCTTGCGATATCCCAGACCAGCTTGGTTCCCTTGCTTTCGACTTAGAATATTTGAATACTTTTATTAGTTTCATTTATTTTTGTCTTTTTTGTTATTATATGATTGTCAACATCCAACATTTTGCAGGAGACCCAGGTATTAGGTTATCCACATATAGAACTATTGTTTTGTTTGTTTCCATCGGAATTTCTATTTTTTCTGTTCTTCAGGCCGAGAATTCAGTCAGAGAGTCTTTGTTTTCAGGTATTTTCCAGTTCGGACTTGTGAACACTCTTTCCATTGTGATGGAGTACATGCATTCAAACAAAGAGGTGTTTCTTAAGGACATTTACGAAGAACCAATGAATCTTGGAGAATTTTCTGATAATGCAATTGGTGAGGCCATCTCTTCTGACTTCTCAGATGAAGTATCTTATTCATCTGAACAATATGAATAGAAAGTTATTATTCATTCTTTTTTATTTATTTATTATTATTATTTCAAAATTATTTTCAAATTTTCAATTCCAAAAATTTTGAATATCAAAATAATCAAAAATCTTTTGCTTTGATTCTTTTCAAAAGTTTAAGGAAAAAGTAACGCATTAATTTCTAATTTTTCAATTTTTATTTTTATATGTTTGTTTGTTTGAATAAAATTATGATGTATGATATTTTAAACGCAAGTATATATGTTCAACAATGATTTTTTTTTATAAAATCAGAAGAAATAAATTTGGAAATATTAGGCAGTCAACAAAATTTAGTATTCAAAGTTAACATGATTTGGTGATGTATATTATCGATTGTGTTGACTTCCTGACTCTCAAATTATGAAATTTTACAGATTTTAATATATGACTATGAATTAAATGATAAGTAACAAGCAAAAATCAGTATACAAAATATTTATATTCAGATTTATAATAAGTTTTTAATCATATTGATTTGACTTCCTGTTTCTCGGTATCTGTATCATCCGTAACTTCGACAATTACTCTATTGATAACTGTTACCTTTGAATCCATATCCAAAATATAGGGTTGACGTGTACGAACCCATTGTAAATCTCTAAGTGTTTTTCATAACAGTAATCATATTCCCATTGATTGAAGATTAGTGTTCCTTTGGGATAGTTGTCGACTTTTGGAATATGTTTCCTTATGTTTTTCAGTCCTCTTTGAACATCATCAAAGTCTTCTTTCAAATCGAGTAGGAAACCCTTCCCAATATTCTTTCTAAGCATTTTGATCGTATTTCGGAGTGAATTGAGCCATTCATATCTTACTGTTAGTCTTCCTGTGAATATGAGGAAAAAATATAGTGCTCTTCCGTATGATGAGAATCTCAAAGGGAAGAAGAAGTTCCAATGAGCTTCTCGATACATGCAATCAAGAACGAGAGGATTTGCTCCAGAATCATAATATAAAGCTGCATAATAGTGTAATTTAATTTCTTTTCCATACGGATCTTCTTTATCACTCGTATAGTAGCAATCAAAATCTATTCTTTTTAATTCTAACATGTATTTTACAACTTTCCACGGAACTCTAATTTTTTTTCTTCTTTTACTTCTAGGATCTGGAATGTATCTAAGCACAGAATCCTTGTTCATCTCCGATTCACCGAAATGAAACTTGTATTGGTCCTTCTTATAAGTCATTTAATACTTTTGTTTATCTGAAAAACTAAAATTTATAAAAACCGCAAAATTGCTCACTGAAATTTTCAATTGCATTTATGTTATAATTTTTTCATAAATGCTTAGAGAAATTTATTTGAAACTACTTTTTATTATGTAAATCTGATCGTATTACAACATCTTTGAGGGGAAAAAAATCTTTGGCATATTCAAATTTTATCGTTAAAATTCTTGGATTAATACAACTTTTACTTATTGTATTCATCAATTATAGTTCAAATATATCATAAAAATGTTCAATGCTATAATAAAGACTCTGGAATGTGAAATAATATAAGCTTATTGAACAAAAAATCATTCAACCAATAATTTTTTTTCACCGAGTACTAATATATTATGATGTTCATAGAATATTGGAATACTATTCACTTCAAATTGATTTATGTATTGATCACTTAATTTTTTTATATAGACATATGCATATATGCATATATTCAGTGGAATTGATTATTAGGTGATAAAAAGTTTTATTCATGAAAATATTACGATTATAATATAATTTAGTTCGTTAAAATAAAATTTACATCTTTCCCCTAGGATTATGCTTCAAATAAATATTCCTAGCGATCAATATCCACTTTTAATTTATATAGCTCGGCTTTCTAATGTGGACATTGAGCTTTAAATAACTCTTTGTTTTTAAGAAATCAATTAAATCAGCGTTATTAATTGAAGTTGATAACCCAGGAATAGAAAAGATTATGTAGTCATCTTGAATGTTTTGTAATGATATAAAACGTCTCTTAGCTTCTCCAACAATTTTCTCTTTTGATGTATTTCTATCGCATTGGAAAGAAACAATGAAACCTTTATAGCACAACTCTATATCAATTTTTTCAGAGAGTTCGTGATTTTTAATTGCATCAATTCTTAATTTGACTTCATCAAGAGCAGTTATTTTTGGCTTTTTTACAAGATAATCTTTAGATTTATCTTTGCCAAAAGTTTTGAGGAAATCATTAATATCTTCTGGTTCTTTTTGTTCTTCTTCACAAGATGATGACAATGAGTAATCTTTAGAATTCATTGATGATCCTTGAGCAACCAGGTTAGAATTAGGAGTTCCTGATTGATTCAGGAGTGTTTCAATATTGGAAGGAGAAGTTATTATTTTTTCGAATTCCTCTGGAGGAATTAATTCGGACTTTTCTTTGGATTCAAAGTGCGCCTTGATGTCGTCAATTCTAGAATCAATGAATAAGAGATAAAAATCGTTCATATCCGGGTATATAATTTGGAAAAATTCTGTGGCTGCTCCAGAATTAAAAAAGTTAGCTTTATTGCTATCACCTCCAAACAGTTGATTAGTAATGAATGCAACGCATTCACTTCTGGTCATATTGCTCAATTCAGTCTTTTGTAAATTGATTTTTTGAACTTCATCTTTGTATTCACATTCGAATTTAATTAGTGGGATTTTACCATTCATAATTGGAAGGTGAATATCAGAGCCACATCTTGAAAGGAGAGCTAACATCAGGTTTGCAAAAACTGACTGATTTTTTTCCAAATGTTTCCAATTAAACTTCAATGCTTCATCTGAAAGGTGACTAGCGCGAATGAAAACTGTATCATCTTTAACTTCGAAAGGAAACTCTTTTTTAATGCTTGGATGAAACTCGAGCAATTCGCGATAAAGAGCTACATCAGAAAAGGATTTGTCTCTTTTGAAAACTGATATATTGAAACTTTGAATAGAATAATTGATGAGGAATTCATCACTCGCAATTAATGTGTCAGATGATAATATCATGCTCAATTCATCCAACATGTTGATCAATTCAGTGTAATTTCCTTCATCAAAAATTTCTCGGAATAATTTTAAACCGTCGCTGATGGTAATTACAGATGAAATCATATCTTTCTCTTGTTTAGGAAAGTAATTCTCAGCAACATCTTTTAATTCTTTTTCGAGCTTTTTTCTAGCATCATCATCGAGGTCGTTTTCAATCAGATATTTCCTAACCTCTCTAATATAGTGCAAATCTTGATAAGCCTTTTCAAAGTAATCGATGACATTTGCCTTACTAGCTAATGCTCTTTCAGTCAGCATGATCCATGGTCCTACCATCCTAAAAAATCTGCATGACGCCAACAATTTTTCGATAAAACTATCAAGACCTGCCTCTAAGAAATGTATTATGTGTCCATCTTCATGACCGAAAGAGAAAGCAGGTATGAATACGGCAGTAGATACACCATTTTCTACAAAAATGGGGAAACTTCTGAATTCAAGCAATTTTTCACTAAACTTGATTGTAGGAGGATTTTTGAAGGTCTTATCAAAGCAAAATTGAGTTCGTGCTCCTGAAATTTCAAAGTTAATTTTAATTTGTTTTTTGAGTATCAAATTAATGATTTTCATGCTTCGAACAATTTCAATTATTCGATTCTTGCCTTCGTTTGTGCAGCAAATCTCTATAAAAGCTAACGCTAAATCTTCAATTGTAAATTTTCTTACTTCTTTGCCAGGAGAGCTCTGAATTGGGCTTAATTTCTCAAATGTTGGAATTGAATCCTCTATTTTAGCCTTTTCATCTTTCTGAGATAGCCATATATTGCAAATATGTTTAATATCTTCTGTCAATTGAAGAGTTTCGATATTAAATGTTTCCATGACTTCTTTTTCCGTGATTCCAGTAAGCTTTGCTATGGCCTCTGCGAATGTAGTTACTTGCTGCTGCATTATTTAATCTAAATAATTTTCAATTCAAATTTGATGCATTTTTTTCTATGAAAAATACATCTAATTAAAATATGTTTTAAAGCATTGACTTACATTCACTATATGCATTATTTAATGATTCGATACATTTTACTTCTTAACTGCTTAATTTTAATTTTTCGATTATTTTTTCATGTCTTTTTTTCACATTTAATAAACTTCTCTAAATGTATAGACAATAGTACACTAATTGAACACATTACTTCATAGGATTGTAAAATTCTGCCATTTTTTTTATCATGAAACGATCCTCATCTCAAGGTCCCACTGGTTTAAAAGGAGATAATTTTGATGAAGATGAGGCATTTGATTCTCTTGATGAACAATTACTTGATCTGACATTATCTCCAGTACCAAATTTTGAATTAATTCCTTTCAAAGCTTTAATTTCATCAATAAATTTTGTTGGTAATAGTACTCTTCAAATATGCATATTTACAGAATTTTAAATACAAGACACATATTTCCTTCTTTTTCGTCGAAAAAGAGCGATTTTATCCAGTTAATCTTTGTTGATAAAATTCTAGATTACTCAGAAATCGAGTTTGTCGGTAGTGTTTCTAATACTCCCGAGATTAAAGAAATCGACATATTATATGCATACGAAAACACATCTTTTACATTGCTTATGATCTGGATTCGGATAAATTTCCCAATAATTTTATTAATTCTTATTATTGTACGATTTTTCCGCAAAACTGCTACCACAATAGAACAAAAAGCATGCTCCCTACTGAATTTAGCTACAATTTTCTATGATCAGCCTTTATCAATTTTAAATTTTTACAAACCAACTCCTCTCACAGTTTACTTAGACATAATCTTTTCGGACATATATGGCCCAGTACTATTCTTTGTATCCATGTTCCTTATTTCTCGTACTTTCGATCAAAAGTTAACACAAACAATGATTTACCTTCCTTTCATCTATTTCGGTACAACATTCTTTCTTTCATCGATCAACTTTCTCGTGCACTATCCTTGCGATATCCCAGACCAGCTTGGTTCCCTTGCTTTCGACTTAGAATATTTGAATACTTTTATTAGTTTCATTTATTTTTGTCTTTTTTGTTATTATATGATTGTCAACATCCAACATTTTGCAGGAGACCCAGGTATTAGGTTATCCACATATAGAACTATTGTTTTGTTTGTTTCCATCGGAATTTCTATTTTTTCTGTTCTTCAGGCCGAGAATTCAGTCAGAGAGTCTTTGTTTTCAGGTATTTTCCAGTTCGGACTTGTGAACACTCTTTCCATTGTGATGGAGTACATGCATTCAAACAAAGAGGTGTTTCTTAAGGACATTTACGAAGAACCAATGAATCTTGGAGAATTTTCTGATAATGCAATTGGTGAGGCCATCTCTTCTGACTTCTCAGATGAAGTATCTTATTCATCTGAACAATATGAATAGAAAGTTATTATTCATTCTTTTTTTATTTATTTATTATTATTATTCAAAATTATTTTCAAATTTTCAATTCCAAAAATTTTGAATATCAAAATAATCAAAAATCTTTTGCTTTGATTCTTTTCAAAAGTTTAAGGAAAAAGTAACGCATTAATTTCTAATTTTTCAATTTTTATTTTTATATGTTTGTTTGTTTGAATAAAATTATGATGTATGATATTTTAAACGCAAGTATATATGTTCAACAATGATTTTTTTTTATAAAATCAGAAGAAATAAATTTGGAAATATTAGGCAGTCAACAAAATTTAGTATTCAAAGTTAACATGATTTGGTGATGTATATTATCGATTGTGTTGACTTCCTGACTCTCAAATTATGAAATTTTACAGATTTTAATATATGACTATGAATTAAATGATAAGTAACAAGCAAAAATCAGTATACAAAATATTTATATTCAGATTTATAATAAGTTTTTAATCATATTGATTTGACTTCCTGTTTCTCGGTATCTGTATCATCCGTAACTTCGACAATTACTCTATTGATAACTGTTACCTTTGAATCCATATCCAAAATATAGGGTTGACGTGTACGAACCCCATTGTAAATCTCTAAGTGTTTTTCATAACAGTAATCATATTCCCATTGATTGAAGATTAGTGTTCCTTTGGGATAGTTGTCGACTTTTGGAATATGTTTCCTTATGTTTTTCAGTCCTCTTTGAACATCATCAAAGTCTTCTTTCAAATCGAGTAGGAAACCCTTCCCAATATTCTTTCTAAGCATTTTGATCGTATTTCGGAGTGAATTGAGCCATTCATATCTTACTGTTAGTCTTCCTGTGAATATGAGGAAAAAATATAGTGCTCTTCCGTATGATGAGAATCTCAAAGGGAAGAAGAAGTTCCAATGAGCTTCTCGATACATGCAATCAAGAACGAGAGGATTTGCTCCAGAATCATAATATAAAGCTGCATAATAGTGTAATTTAATTTCTTTTCCATACGGATCTTCTTTATCACTCGTATAGTAGCAATCAAAATCTATTCTTTTTAATTCTAACATGTATTTTACAACTTTCCACGGAACTCTAATTTTTTTTCTTCTTTTACTTCTAGGATCTGGAATGTATCTAAGCACAGAATCCTTGTTCATCTCCGATTCACCGAAATGAAACTTGTATTGGTCCTTCTTATAAGTCATTTAATACTTTTGTTTATCTGAAAAACTAAAATTTATAAAAACCGCAAAATTGCTCACTGAAATTTTCAATTGCATTTATGTTATAATTTTTTCATAAATGCTTAGAGAAATTTATTTGAAACTACTTTTTATTATGTAAATCTGATCGTATTACAACATCTTTGAGGGGAAAAAAATCTTTGGCATATTCAAATTTTATCGTTAAAATTCTTGGATTAATACAACTTTTACTTATTGTATTCATCAATTATAGTTCAAATATATCATAAAAATGTTCAATGCTATAATAAAGACTCTGGAATGTGAAATAATATAAGCTTATTGAACAAAAAATCATTCAACCAATAATTTTTTTTCACCGAGTACTAATATATTATGATGTTCATAGAATATTGGAATACTATTCACTTCAAATTGATTTATGTATTGATCACTTAATTTTTTTATATAGACATATGCATATATGCATATATTCAGTGGAATTGATTATTAGGTGATAAAAAGTTTTATTCATGAAAATATTACGATTATAATATAATTTAGTTCGTTAAAATAAAATTTACATCTTTCCCCTAGGATTATGCTTCAAATAAATATTCCTAGCGATCAATATCCACTTTTAATTTATATAGCTCGGCTTTCTAATGTGGACATTGAGCTTTAAATAACTCTTTGTTTTTAAGAAATCAATTAAATCAGCGTTATTAATTGAAGTTGATAACCCAGGAATAGAAAAGATTATGTAGTCATCTTGAATGTTTTGTAATGATATAAAACGTCTCTTAGCTTCTCCAACAATTTTCTCTTTTGATGTATTTCTATCGCATTGGAAAGAAACAATGAAACCTTTATAGCACAACTCTATATCAATTTTTTCAGAGAGTTCGTGATTTTTAATTGCATCAATTCTTAATTTGACTTCATCAAGAGCAGTTATTTTTGGCTTTTTTACAAGATAATCTTTAGATTTATCTTTGCCAAAAGTTTTGAGGAAATCATTAATATCTTCTGGTTCTTTTTGTTCTTCTTCACAAGATGATGACAATGAGTAATCTTTAGAATTCATTGATGATCCTTGAGCAACCAGGTTAGAATTAGGAGTTCCTGATTGATTCAGGAGTGTTTCAATATTGGAAGGAGAAGTTATTATTTTTTCGAATTCCTCTGGAGGAATTAATTCGGACTTTTCTTTGGATTCAAAGTGCGCCTTGATGTCGTCAATTCTAGAATCAATGAATAAGAGATAAAAATCGTTCATATCCGGGTATATAATTTGGAAAAATTCTGTGGCTGCTCCAGAATTAAAAAAGTTAGCTTTATTGCTATCACCTCCAAACAGTTGATTAGTAATGAATGCAACGCATTCACTTCTGGTCATATTGCTCAATTCAGTCTTTTGTAAATTGATTTTTTGAACTTCATCTTTGTATTCACATTCGAATTTAATTAGTGGGATTTTACCATTCATAATTGGAAGGTGAATATCAGAGCCACATCTTGAAAGGAGAGCTAACATCAGGTTTGCAAAAACTGACTGATTTTTTTCCAAATGTTTCCAATTAAACTTCAATGCTTCATCTGAAAGGTGACTAGCGCGAATGAAAACTGTATCATCTTTAACTTCGAAAGGAAACTCTTTTTTAATGCTTGGATGAAACTCGAGCAATTCGCGATAAAGAGCTACATCAGAAAAGGATTTGTCTCTTTTGAAACTGATATATTGAGAACTTTGAATAGAAAATTGATGAGGAATTCATCACTCGCAATTAATGTGTCAGATGATAATATCATGCTCAATCATCCAACATGTTGATCAATTCAGTGTAATTTCCTTCATCAAAAATTTCTCGGAATAATTTTAAACCGTCGCTGATGGTAATTAGCGATGAAATCATATCTTTCTCTTGTTTAGGAAAGTAATTCTCAGCAACATCTTTTAATTCTTTTTCGAGCTTTTTTCTAGCATCATCATCGAGGTCGTTTTCAATCAGATATTTCCTAACTCTCTATATAGTGCAAATCTTGATAAGCCTTTTCAAAGTAATCGATGACATTTGCCTTACTAGCTAATGCTCTTTCAGTCAGCATGATCCATGGTCCTACCATCCTAAAAAATCTGCATGACGCCAACAATTTTTCGATAAAACTATCAAGACCTGCCTCTAAAAATGTATTATGTGTCCATCTTCATGACCGAAAGAGAAAGCAGGTATGAATACGGCAGTAGATACACCATTTTCTACAAAAATGGGGAAACTTCTGAATTCAAGCAATTTTTCACTAAACTTGATTGTAGGAGGATTTTGAAGGTCTTATCAAAGCAAAATTGAGTTCGTGCTCCTGAAATTTCAAAGTTAATTTTAATTTGTTTTTTGAGTATCAAATTAATGATTTTCATGCTTCGAACAATTTCAATTATTCGATTCTTGCCTTCGTTTGTGCAGCAAATCTCTATAAAAGCTAACGCTAAATTTCAATTGTAAATTTTCTTACTTCTTTGCCAGGAGAGCTCTGAATTGGGCTTAATTTCTCAAATGTTGGAATTGAATCCTCTATTTTAGCCTTTTCATCTTTCTGAGATAGCCATATATTGCAAATATGTTTAATATCTTCTGTCAATTGAAGAGTTTCGATATTAAATGTTTCCATGACTTCTTTTTCCGTGATTCCAGTAAGCTTTGCTATGGCCTCTGCGAATGTAGTTACTTGCTGCTGCATTATTTAATCTAAATAATTTTCAATTCAAATTTGATGCATTTTTTTCTATGAAAAATACATCTAATTAAAATATGTTTTTTGAACATTCACTATATGCATTATTTAATGATTCGATACATTTTACTTCTTAACTGCTTAATTTTAATTTTTCGATTATTTTTTCATGTCTTTTTTTCACATTTAATAAACTTCTCTAAATGTATAGACAATAGTACACTAATTGAACACATTACTTCATAGGATTGTAAAATTCTGCCATTTTTTTTATCATGAAACGATCCTCATCTCAAGGTCCCACTGGTTTAAAAGGAGATAATTTTGATGAAGATGAGGCATTTGATTCTCTTGATGAACAATTACTTGATCTGACATTATCTCCAGTACCAAATTTTGAATTAATTCCTTTCAAAGCTTTAATTTCATCAATAAATTTTGTTGGTAATAGTACTCTTCAAATATGCATATTTACAGAATTTTAAATACAAGACACATATTTCCTTCTTTTTCGTCGAAAAAGAGCGATTTTATCCAGTTAATCTTTGTTGATAAAATTCTAGATTACTCAGAAATCGAGTTTGTCGGTAGTGTTTCTAATACTCCCGAGATTAAAGAAATCGACATATTATATGCATACGAAAACACATCTTTTACATTGCTTATGATCTGGATTCGGATAAATTTCCCAATAATTTTTTAATTCTTATTATTGTACGATTTTTCCGCAAAACTGCTACCACAATAGAACAAAAAGCATGCTCCCTACTGAATTTAGCTACAATTTTCTATGATCAGCCTTTATCAATTTAAATTTTTACAAACCAACTCCTCTCACAGTTTACTTAGACATAATCTTTTCGGACATATATGGCCCAGTACTATTCTTTGTATCCATGTTCCTTATTTCTCGTACTTTCGATCAAAAGTTAACACAAACAATGATTTACCTTCCTTTCATCTATTTCGGTACAACATTCTTTCTTTCATCGATCAACTTTCTCGTGCACTATCCTTGCGATATCCCAGACCAGCTTGGTTCCCTTGCTTTCGACTTAGAATATTTGAATACTTTTATTAGTTTCATTTATTTTTGTCTTTTTTGTTATTATATGATTGTCAACATCCAACATTTTGCAGGAGACCCAGGTATTAGGTTATCCACATATAGAACTATTGTTTTGTTTGTTTCCATCGGAATTTCTATTTTTTCTGTTCTTCAGGCCGAGAATTCAGTCAGAGAGTCTTTGTTTTCAGGTATTTTCCAGTTCGGACTTGTGAACACTCTTTCCATTGTGATGGAGTACATGCATTCAAACAAAGAGGTGTTTCTTAAGGACATTTACGAAGAACCAATGAATCTTGGAGAATTTTCTGATAATGCAATTGGTGAGGCCATCTCTTCTGACTTCTCAGATGAAGTATCTTATTCATCTTATTTTTTATTATTTATTTATTATTATTATTTCAAAATTATTTTCAAATTTTCAATTCCAAAAATTTTGAATATCAAAATAATCAAAAATCTTTTGCTTTGATTCTTTTCAAAAGTTTAAGGAAAAAGTAACGCATTAATTTCTAATTTTTCAATTTTTATTTTTATATGTTTGTTTGTTTGAATAAAATTATGATGTATGATATTTTAAACGCAAGTATATATGTTCAACAATGATTTTTTTTTATAAAATCAGAAGAAATAAATTTGGAAATATTAGGCAGTCAACAAAATTTAGTATTCAAAGTTAACATGATTTGGTGATGTATATTATCGATTGTGTTGACTTCCTGACTCTCAAATTATGAAATTTTACAGATTTTAATATATGACTATGAATTAAATGATAAGTAACAAGCAAAAATCAGTATACAAAATATTTATATTCAGATTTATAATAAGTTTTTAATCATATTGATTTGACTTCCTGTTTCTCGGTATCTGTATCATCCGTAACTTCGACAATTACTCTATTGATAACTGTTACCTTTGAATCCATATCCAAAATATAGGGTTGACGTGTACGAACCCCATTGTAAATCTCTAAGTGTTTTTCATAACAGTAATCATATTCCCATTGATTGAAGATTAGTGTTCCTTTGGGATAGTTGTCGACTTTTGGAATATGTTTCCTTATGTTTTTCAGTCCTCTTTGAACATCATCAAAGTCTTCTTTCAAATCGAGTAGGAAACCCTTCCCAATATTCTTTCTAAGCATTTTGATCGTATTTCGGAGTGAATTGAGCCATTCATATCTTACTGTTAGTCTTCCTGTGAATATGAGGAAAAAATATAGTGCTCTTCCGTATGATGAGAATCTCAAAGGGAAGAAGAAGTTCCAATGAGCTTCTCGATACATGCAATCAAGAACGAGAGGATTTGCTCCAGAATCATAATATAAAGCTGCATAATAGTGTAATTTAATTTCTTTTCCATACGGATCTTCTTTATCACTCGTATAGTAGCAATCAAAATCTATTCTTTTTAATTCTAACATGTATTTTACAACTTTCCACGGAACTCTAATTTTTTTTCTTCTTTTACTTCTAGGATCTGGAATGTATCTAAGCACAGAATCCTTGTTCATCTCCGATTCACCGAAATGAAACTTGTATTGGTCCTTCTTATAAGTCATTTAATACTTTTGTTTATCTGAAAAACTAAAATTTATAAAAACCGCAAAATTGCTCACTGAAATTTTCAATTGCATTTATGTTATAATTTTTTCATAAATGCTTAGAGAAATTTATTTGAAACTACTTTTTATTATGTAAATCTGATCGTATTACAACATCTTTGAGGGGAAAAAAATCTTTGGCATATTCAAATTTTATCGTTAAAATTCTTGGATTAATACAACTTTTACTTATTGTATTCATCAATTATAGTTCAAATATATCATAAAAATGTTCAATGCTATAATAAAGACTCTGGAATGTGAAATAATATAAGCTTATTGAACAAAAAATCATTCAACCAATAATTTTTTTTCACCGAGTACTAATATATTATGATGTTCATAGAATATTGGAATACTATTCACTTCAAATTGATTTATGTATTGATCACTTAATTTTTTTATATAGACATATGCATATATGCATATATTCAGTGGAATTGATTATTAGGTGATAAAAAGTTTTATTCATGAAAATATTACGATTATAATATAATTTAGTTCGTTAAAATAAAATTTACATCTTTCCCCTAGGATTATGCTTCAAATAAATATTCCTAGCGATCAATATCCACTTTTAATTTATATAGCTCGGCTTTCTAATGTGGACATTGAGCTTTAAATAACTCTTTGTTTTTAAGAAATCAATTAAATCAGCGTTATTAATTGAAGTTGATAACCCAGGAATAGAAAAGATTATGTAGTCATCTTGAATGTTTTGTAATGATATAAAACGTCTCTTAGCTTCTCCAACAATTTTCTCTTTTGATGTATTTCTATCGCATTGGAAAGAAACAATGAAACCTTTATAGCACAACTCTATATCAATTTTTTCAGAGAGTTCGTGATTTTTAATTGCATCAATTCTTAATTTGACTTCATCAAGAGCAGTTATTTTTGGCTTTTTTACAAGATAATCTTTAGATTTATCTTTGCCAAAAGTTTTGAGGAAATCATTAATATCTTCTGGTTCTTTTTGTTCTTCTTCACAAGATGATGACAATGAGTAATCTTTAGAATTCATTGATGATCCTTGAGCAACCAGGTTAGAATTAGGAGTTCCTGATTGATTCAGGAGTGTTTCAATATTGGAAGGAGAAGTTATTATTTTTTCGAATTCCTCTGGAGGAATTAATTCGGACTTTTCTTTGGATTCAAAGTGCGCCTTGATGTCGTCAATTCTAGAATCAATGAATAAGAGATAAAAATCGTTCATATCCGGGTATATAATTTGGAAAAATTCTGTGGCTGCTCCAGAATTAAAAAAGTTAGCTTTATTGCTATCACCTCCAAACAGTTGATTAGTAATGAATGCAACGCATTCACTTCTGGTCATATTGCTCAATTCAGTCTTTTGTAAATTGATTTTTTGAACTTCATCTTTGTATTCACATTCGAATTTAATTAGTGGGATTTTACCATTCATAATTGGAAGGTGAATATCAGAGCCACATCTTGAAAGGAGAGCTAACATCAGGTTTGCAAAAACTGACTGATTTTTTTCCAAATGTTTCCAATTAAACTTCAATGCTTCATCTGAAAGGTGACTAGCGCGAATGAAAACTGTATCATCTTTAACTTCGAAAGGAAACTCTTTTTTAATGCTTGGATGAAACTCGAGCAATTCGCGATAAAGAGCTACATCAGAAAAGGATTTGTCTCTTTTGAAAACTGATATATTGAAACTTTGAATAGAATAATTGATGAGGAATTCATCACTCGCAATTAATGTGTCAGATGATAATATCATGCTCAATCATCCAACATGTTGATCAATTCAGTGTAATTTCCTTCATCAAAAATTTCTCGGAATAATTTTAAACCGTCGCTGATGGTAATTACAGATGAAATCATATCTTTCTCTTGTTTAGGAAAGTAATTCTCAGCAACATCTTTTAATTCTTTTTCGAGCTTTTTTCTAGCATCATCATCGAGGTCGTTTTCAATCAGATATTTCCTAACCTCTCTAATATAGTGCAAATCTTGATAAGCCTTTTCAAAGTAATCGATGACATTTGCCTTACTAGCTAATGCTCTTTCAGTCAGCATGATCCATGGTCCTACCATCCTAAAAAATCTGCATGACGCCAACAATTTTTCGATAAAACTATCAAGACCTGCCTCTAAGAAATGTATTATGTGTCCATCTTCATGACCGAAAGAGAAAGCAGGTATGAATACGGCAGTAGATACACCATTTTCTACAAAAATGGGGAAACTTCTGAATTCAAGCAATTTTTCACTAAACTTGATTGTAGGAGGATTTTTGAAGGTCTTATCAAAGCAAAATTGAGTTCGTGCTCCTGAAATTTCAAAGTTAATTTTAATTTTTTTTTGAGTATCAAATTAATGATTTTCATGCTTCGAACAATTTCAATTATTCGATTCTTGCCTTCGTTTGTGCAGCAAATCTCTATAAAAGCTAACGCTAAATCTTCAATTGTAAATTTTCTTACTTCTTTGCCAGGAGAGCTCTGAATTGGGCTTAATTTCTCAAATGTTGGAATTGAATCCTCTATTTTAGCCTTTTCATCTTTCTGAGATAGCCATATATTGCAAATATGTTTAATATCTTCTGTCAATTGAAGAGTTTCGATATTAAATGTTTCCATGACTTCTTTTTCCGTGATTCCAGTAAGCTTTGCTATGGCCTCTGCGAATGTAGTTACTTGCTGCTGCATTATTTAATCTAAATAATTTTCAATTCAAATTTGATGCATTTTTTTCTATGAAAAATACATCTAATTAAAATATGTTTTAAAGCATTGACTTACATTCACTATATGCATTATTTAATGATTCGATACATTTTACTTCTTAACTGCTTAATTTTAATTTTTCGATTATTTTTTCATGTCTTTTTTTCACATTTAATAAACTTCTCTAAATGTATAGACAATAGTACACTAATTGAACACATTACTTCATAGGATTGTAAAATTCTGCCATTTTTTTTATCATGAAACGATCCTCATCTCAAGGTCCCACTGGTTTAAAAGGAGATAATTTTGATGAAGATGAGGCATTTGATTCTCTTGATGAACAATTACTTGATCTGACATTATCTCCAGTACCAAATTTTGAATTAATTCCTTTCAAAGCTTTAATTTCATCAATAAATTTTGTTGGTAATAGTACTCTTCAAATATGCATATTTACAGAATTTTAAATACAAGACACATATTTCCTTCTTTTTCGTCGAAAAAGAGCGATTTTATCCAGTTAATCTTTGTTGATAAAATTCTAGATTACTCAGAAATCGAGTTTGTCGGTAGTGTTTCTAATACTCCCGAGATTAAAGAAATCGACATATTATATGCATACGAAAACACATCTTTTACATTGCTTATGATCTGGATTCGGATAAATTTCCCAATAATTTTATTAATTCTTATTATTGTACGATTTTTCCGCAAAACTGCTACCACAATAGAACAAAAAGCATGCTCCCTACTGAATTTAGCTACAATTTTCTATGATCAGCCTTTATCAATTTTAAATTTTTACAAACCAACTCCTCTCACAGTTTACTTAGACATAATCTTTTCGGACATATATGGCCCAGTACTATTCTTTGTATCCATGTTCCTTATTTCTCGTACTTTCGATCAAAAGTTAACACAAACAATGATTTACCTTCCTTTCATCTATTTCGGTACAACATTCTTTCTTTCATCGATCAACTTTCTCGTGCACTATCCTTGCGATATCCCAGACCAGCTTGGTTCCCTTGCTTTCGACTTAGAATATTTGAATACTTTTATTAGTTTCATTTATTTTTGTCTTTTTTGTTATTATATGATTGTCAACATCCAACATTTTGCAGGAGACCCAGGTATTA